GAAAACCTTACAATGTCTGTATAAAAGCATTAGCGTGATGTTAAATTCAAGAAAAATACATAGCGATAAAAAATGAGTGACTGTTGAGACATACTTTACTATCCACAAATAACTAAATTTCTATATATGACAGCAATATAATCTAAGTAATTAAAAATGCAACAGGTATCATAAAACAAATAACGTAACTAGAAATTGTAGATACCGGCTTCGGGCAAAGTCTCCGTAACTTCAAAAGCTGATTTACAAAGAAACGATAGCTAATATCTCAAATAACACAGTTAATCTGAAGGATACAATATGTAATCAAACTAACAAGAATAAATCTTCATAGTAATCAGAAAGTAACGTAGACAAAATTGAGTCTCGACTAGCATATTCTTCGTAGCGACACAGATAGTATAAGTAATATCAGATATATCGGAGCAATTTACAAGATCGGTAATCTCGAAAGGGATTTCGTTAACACTTGGGCTTAGGAAGTGTAGGTAAACAAATTCTCATGTAAGTAGGTCACAGGTATAATTGTTCAAGCCGGTAATGTAGAAACATCCATCGCGTGGCGTTTTTGAATTGATAAGATGGCGGTGAAACTTCCCCAATGAATTTTTCTTGCACAATATTGAGAAAAGCCAACATTCTGCGGTTTACACTCAGGAATACAGAAGTAAGAAGCCTAAAAATGAATATTTAAGGTCAAAAGGTAATGCGTAATTTTTGGTACCCACTTAGAACCTGTAAAATATATCTGCAAACAGAAAACTTCCTAAACGGCAGACGAAAACTTAACAACTATGGTGTGTACGTTCCTAGTAATGGTTGAATGTGGTTTTGAACAAAGAACTGCGTGCGCCGAGAATAATTAAAGAGAACTCTGCACGACCTCGATCGGGAAAACAAAGAACTATTGTAATAAGAAATCTATAACAGTAATAAATTTACTATGGGAACAACTTGCATCTAAAAATAGTGGAAAATACCTAGATGGTGTAAGAAACCACCAGGATCGTAGCTTACAACCGTACGTTTTCCTAATAAAAGTTTTCTTTGCTTTGGAATAAAGGGACAGTGAGTTTATTTTGGTCTATGGTCATTTATATCCCATCTTCGATAAATTAGGTAGGGCTTCAGACTATAGTGATGTATTGTACTGTTCTCTAAAATACATTATCCAAACAATGCGAACACTTCTTGTCGTAGTACACTGATAAAAATGTGAAGCTTATTAGATGGACGTGGTGTTGAAGTAAGGGCAGTCACTAGCTAGGGAGTGATACTTTTCTCCTGCTTTTGAGGAAGTAATGATCTTATTTCCCGACTTAAAAGAACATGTAAGTTGCAACAAACCCCAAATAAGCCACGTGGCGCCTCTAATTAAATCTATATCAACCATTTTTGAGTAGGTACATGCAAGCTGCCCATGTCGTTGGCATTTGGCCACCAAAACTCCTTTTTTGTGTGGTATGCATAGGTAGATACTTTAGCGCAACCGTCGCGTCGGATCGGCTGGAATTGAAATTATATTTATCTCGCATTCTGTATAATAAATGAATCAACTAAATGAACAACTAAATGATAAAAAAACAAGCGTTGTCTTATTAACGATAGTAAATGTTATAAACGTAAGAGACACTGACAAGTCATTAATAATTCTTTTCTGTTGCAAGCTGTATAGGTGAACAATTATTAATTTTCCGCGATGCTCGCGGAGCGCAAATTTCTTCATTTTTACCAAATAAAAAGAAATTAACACCGAATGAAAATAGTCAATGAATATTCATACGAATTTAATTTTAGTATCCGCTCACAAATCACCTACTTTTAACCGGATTTGTAACATCACTTTGATAGATTCTCTAAAACGAACGCCAATTTTTTTTCGAATTAAAATAATTTACGTTTTGTTAACACTCAAGGATGACCGGTGTTATTGTCATCACCTGTTATTGACCCTTGACACTAATTTTGTTCGTTACTTACCAACTTTTTTTTGGAAAGTCGACGCTCACAATTTTTAATTGTCAACTAGGTATCGGTGATTGCTTTGATTTCGCCGTTCTCTTTCCGTTAATTATTCAAATAGCTCCCTGATTGTGAATTGCGTGGGCTATTTTTATGGGTGGATGGTGCAACAAACTTAACGTATTCACGAATCGGATCGCAGACGTGCAAAAACCGCAATAAAAAATGACAGAAAACTCATTACTGTAAAATTAGTAAATAATACGAAAAGCTTCGAATTGGATGGATAGTTTTAAAATAAAGAACAAAAACGCAAACATCTTTCTCAATAAATTCCGCGGCACGTCTCACACGAATACTATAATCACCTTCCATTCCTCAAATGCGGCGGAACTTTGAACTTTACCTGTATATTTTATTCGGCCCGTTTTTATGACATTTTTTTATTGGTAAAGAAACTGCTAATCGAATCTAATTAGTTGTCGTTAGAAGGATTTATGTGTGTACACGGTTATCGATTTTTTCCAAATTTTAGGCAAATTCAAAAAGTCGACTGATAGCCGTAGGGATTTAGACGTTAGTAGGCATCTATAGCGTTCATTTATGTCAGTGAAGTTAGCCTCGCCTAATAAAAAATCCAGAAACTAAGGGAGGTTATTGTTTGTTTTTTCTTAGTTATTGATTGTTTTGACAAAAGGAAAGTTTGTTTCGCAAAGCGATAGGCAAAAATAAAAACACTTCCATAATTGGCAAGGCTTCATTCACAATGTCCAACCCACACTCGAGTTTTCAAATCTGAGTAACATTCTTTCATGTTTAGTTATTGTTTTTTTTATTTTGTTGTAATGAAAGTTTTACAGTGAAACAATTGTGGCCAGACTAACTTCACACCAGTCCGACCCAAATTAAGCTTTAATTACTCTGCATCTAATTCGCGGTTTTTTCGCAATGAGTTAATCAGGTTTTATAAATTAACAAAATCGGCAAGGGTAGCTAGTAGTTTTGATATTAGCAATGGACATATTTGGGGCAAACGTTCTAATCTTTCTTTGTGAGTGCCCTCCTCCGACAATCCACTCTTGAGGTATCAATTGTAACCGATCACGATAAGGGTTCGAGGAGAAGGACTATGGGTGGTAGAAATTAATTCCTCCCATTGAGACTCTTTATCAGACTACCATGAAGGATAAAACCAGTCGCCCCTCCCCAAACCCTGTGTTTTGATAAGGGGTAAGAAAGAAGGGCTGTAGTTGGTAGAGAACAGTTTCCTTTTGTTGTAGCAAGTAGAACGTCTGGACGAGACACATCTACTGGCGATGCGAAATCTTAATTGTGAATATCTCGAAAATTTTGGAGGAAGGCGCCTACAAAAGGAAAATGCAATATTTCGGAGAATTTCTCTAAGGTCTTGATTCTTCTTGCATTATATAGCGTAGATTCTGAATGTATGCCAGGCGGCTTTTAAATGTTTATGTGTAAATATCCCTCTTCCCATAATTTACCAATAAGTTAAACATTGATAGATATAGCATGCTACTGCTTTATAACCCAACTAAGCTACAATTCGCCTTATCTGCACAAGAGTTGACCACAATGTATACTTGTTTAGAACGTCTTTAAATAGGCCTGCAAAGTATTTGCAAATAAACGTGTAAACTGCAAATATAGTAAACGAGCTCCTGGGTATGCCTATAACATGTGCAAAATTTTAAAATTGATTTTATTCCAAGTGGCTACAGGAATCCTAAAGTCGTAGACCTCTCAAAAATCTGATATACACGGTGTCCATTTTTCGAATGCCACTATGGAGATCTCGCTTATCTTAAGAGATAGAAACTTGGTTCAATTAGGTGAAAGTTGCGAATTTTCGTGCTGAATAATAATCTAAAAATAAATTTATAATATCTTCAATAGTTTTGAAAATATGGCAAACAATCGAAAATTTCTGATTTTCATTTTTAACTTTTTCATGGTAAACTAATTGTACTAGACATTTCTAATTAACACATTTTAATGGAGATTGCGAATATGGCATCCAGTTTTTAATAACTTTCAAGATAACAGAGAAACACTTGGCAATTTTAGTTTTTTTTGTGGGCGCCGTTTTGGATTTACACATTTTGAGATTAGGTCTTTTTTTCTCTTTACAACGATATATCACACATGGTGGTTCAGTATCACATTTTTTCTAAAAATACAATTTTCATTGTCTGCGAAGAGTGCTATGCAAAAACAAAACGTTGTTTTGTTGTGAACAAAATGTTGACCTATTTCAAGCAGTGTCATTTACGTTTGTGCTAGTTTTATTGCTAAAATATTATTTATTCTTATGTATTTTGTTCTAATTTGAATTATAATTTTCTTTCAAAACGTAGGTTCAATTCTGTTCATATGAAAATCGTTCCCTGATGCCAAAGCTGCAACCGGACATATGCAACAAACTGTCAAACTTTTGTTAACAACAAAATAACGTTTTGTTTTTCCAAAGCACTCTTCCCAAAAAATTAAAAATTGTATTTTAGGAAAAATGTGATACTGAACCACCATATGTGATATATCGCCGTAAAGAGAAAAAAAGACGTAATCTTAAAATCACAAAATTAAAAATGGCGCCCATAAGAAAAACTACAGTTGCCACGTGTTTCTCTGTCATCTTAAAAGTTATTTAAAACGAGATGTCACATTCGAAATCTCCATTGAAAAGTGTTCGAATAATGTGTTAATTAGAAACGACTAGTTTATCATGAAAAAATTAAAAACCAAAATTAGAAAGTTTCGTTTTTTTTGCGATATTTTCAGAACTATTGATGATATTTTAAATTTCTTTTCAGATGGTTATTCAGCAGGGAAATTCCCAACTTTGCCCCCATTTAACCAACTTTCTATCTCTAAAGGTAAGCGAGATCCCCATAGTGGCACTCGAAAAATAGACACCGTGTATAGCACGCCACCTCACGCAAACATAGGATGACCAATCGATCGAAGCAGCGATCCCATTTTTTACTCGCCCGATCGGGTTTAGCAATTAAAAAAAGAAATCCAAATCCAAAACTTTATTAGTACTTATAAGAATTACAAGGGTATAATTTCTGGTAAGGGGTACTTCTTCTCAAATGCATGAATGACGGCGTCATCCAGCTTATTACCTTCCAAAGTAACCTGTTTGAGTTCATGAAGACTGTCGAAGACGTCTAGGTTTAAGTCGGAGATCTTGTTATGCTGGAGGTTAAGTACAACTATACCGGTCAGTCCTTTGAATGTGTCGGATGTAATGTGCTTCAAGGTGTTGTTGGAGAGGTCGAGATAGGCGAGCGTCTTGAAATCCTCAAAGGTACCGGGTTCGATTTCGTCAATATCGTTTTCGGACAAAGTCAAGGATTGCAATTGAGGTGCAGAGGGTGAGGCACCTTTTTTTAGCGCTTTGAGTTTGTTGGAATCTAGTTTAAGCGACCTAAGCGATGTTAGTGTTTTGAAAATGCCGGATGGTAAGTTCTTGATTGCGTTGTGCGATAAGTCCAAGGTGCTCAATTTTGGGATTGTGGCAAATTCGTCACCATTGAACTTATGAAGTTCATTAGCATTTAAGCGCAAAGTTTCCAGGTTTGGAAACAGTTCAAAGGTATCGGAGTGGATCGATGAAATTTTGTTATCGCTCAAGATTAGCCTTTCGATTTTTGCAAGCCCGGCGAACATATCTCCATTGATTTTAGATAGATGGTTTTGTTTCATTGACAACGTTTCCAGTTCCGCAAGTCCTTCGAAGGTGCCCGGCTCTATGTCCTCGATGTGATCTTCATCCAGAAAGAGGAATTTTAAGTTTTCCATCTTGGCGAAATCTCCTTTTTTCAGCATATTTAGTTTGGATTTGCCAATTGTTAAAGAGGACAAGGTTTTCACGTTAGAGAAGCAGGTAGGAGTGAAGGTATCAAAGTGAATATCTTCGATTGTCAGAGATGTTAGGGACGATAAATCTTCAAAGGCTTCACAGTGTATGTTCTTAATTGGATTTTTTGTAATATGCAAGTACGGCAGCGAACTCAAGCCTTCAAACATCTTTGGGGTGATACTGTGTAATTTATTGTCACTAAAGTAGAAAGTCCGGAGTTGTTTCAGGTTTTTGAATATGCCGGATTCGAAATGCTCAATCTTGTTATCATTTAAATCTAAACGTACTAACTTGGTCAAGTGGTCGAAGATTCCTTTCTTCAAATCCGCTATCTCATTCTTCCTTAAATGTAGTACCTCCAGCTCCACGTTTTTGTCGAATAATCCCGACGGAAATGATTTGAGTTTATTCTTCTCGAGGTATAAGTTGGAAAGCGCAGTTAGATCATCAAAGGATGAGGATTCAATCGTGTGCATTTTGTTTGAGTATAATTCCAGATTTTCTAAGCCGCTTAATCCTTTAAACATCCCAGATGTTACTTTCTCGATTTTGTTTTCGGAAAGGTCGAGCGTCGAAAGTTGAGAAAGTCCAGAAAAGATGCCATCGGGAATTAATTCCAACTGATTTTTGTTCAGTTTAATACTAGTCAGTTTCGAGGCCCCCGTGAAAATGTCGCCCAATTTGTTAAATTCGTTATCCGAAAGGTCGATGGTATCTATATTCGGATTATTCTTGAAGAGATCTTTCGGCAAGCTTTCGATTTTGTTCATGGAAAACTGGAGTTTCTTAAGGGCTTTTAGGTTGGCAAATAGGCCTTGATCGATATTTGTTATGCCATTATTCATCAAGTCCAGCTCTACCAAGGAGCTTAGGTCGTGAAAAACTTCTGGAGATAGCGTTGCTAATTTATTGCTTTCCAGATGGAGGGTTTTTAAATTAGATAACCCCTTGAAGGTGTCCTTATCTAACTCAACCAAGTGATTGTTGTTAAGGTGCAGTATTTCGAGTAACGTCAGCTTTTCAAAGAGGTTCTTTGGAAGATTGATTCCATAATTTTCAAAAATGTAAACTTGGACTAAATTTGGGCAGCTGTTAAATGCACCTTCTTCAATTTCTTCTAGATGGTTACCATGGATATTGATTTCAACCAAAGAATGCATATCGACAAACGACTTCTTGGGAAAACGTGGTACTCTCGTTTCTAAAATTGCGAGTTTTTTCAAATTGAACATGTCGCTGAACGCCCCATCTTCAATGTTGTCTATTGTGCTAAACCCAATGTGTAGCTCCTCTAAATTCTTCATATGTTTAAAGCATCCATTGGGGATATTAGTTATATTACTGACCGCAAACCTTATACGCTTTAAATGCTCGTATCCTTCAAAAGTATTCGGTCCAAGAAATCCAATGTCGCTACCTACGAGCTCCAAACCAACGAAATTTTCCATTGCCACTTTTTCTTTCACAACATATTCATCAATACCTTTCCTTAATTGATCCAATGAATGTATGCCCCTACACGAAATACCTCTCCTAATGTTATAGCTACAGTCGCTCGACTGCACAGTGGACAACCCAATCAGAAACAATAGCTTCGCAATGAACCTCATGATCTAAATCAAAAGTTTAATTAGCTTCAAGAAAGCGCTAGGAATGGTACTTACCAGATTTGGATGTTCAAAACAACTCTGAATAAGGCGCCCGAAAACAGTTATTTAAATAGGGAAGATTAGGCAATTTGTTTGTCGATGATAGCAGAATTTCGCCAAATTGTTGCAATTGCGTTAATTAAAATGTATTTCTTATCTAAAACGTTGAGAAATGCTACGCTTCTAACTAAAATTATTTGTGATAAAAGGCATGAAGTTTTGTTAACAAATTTGTAAACAGATTCCACTTCCAGGTTATTATCAATTTTAATTGCTAATTATCAAAGTAGGTCGACGTAATGAACACTAAGTAAAAAGCGATGCTTAGAATACTTACTTAGATCACCTTTATAACTAGTTGTCAGATAAACTCCTGACTTGACTCTTTGATGAGTAGTACTTGCAACATAGGCATAGTGGATTTAGAAAGTGGCTTCTGGCACCTTGGTTTTTAACCCGACGGCGACGTAGGTAAAAAGTTTATAACACTTTTTTAGAGCTCGTCTTTTTTGTATCTAACACTTTTCGCTATGGTGCTTAGTCTTCAAGAAAAATGCAAATTTACAAAAATAAATGAAATAGTACTTTTCAAAACCAAAGAAACTCGCAAAAAAACTGTAATCAATTTTTTAAAGCAACTTTCGCCTGTGTATACGAAAAAATGAAAAAAAAAATTTCAAGCCGTCATGGCTCTTTTAAACTTTTGACACCCTCAAAAACTCAAATTCACGTTTTCGATTCCCCATACCAACCTACTTGCACTCCAAATTTTGCGCCAGCAGAATAAATAAAATACATGAGTCTTAGAAACTGAATCCAGACCTGCAATTTTCGAGCGGGATTATTCAACTTGGGTCCTAGCCATCGTGGCGTATGGTGTGCAACTAGGTATACATTGTTTGTTCGTTGTCCGTGCGTATACAGTGCGTAAATTTTAACTCTGAACATACAAATTTCCTATGTTCACTTCATAAATATGCAAGTCAAATACACCATTTAAGGTATGCAACAAATCTTACCTACTTTCACCTTTTTCAAATGTTTTTCGATAAATGTCAAAATCTGGATTTATTAAATTAAAATTATTAATTATATATTCTTAATAAAATACAAAAGCAACAAAAAATGATAAGTAGAGTTGCATAACTATAAACTATCAGGCGTTTACTTGTATATTTAAGAACTGAACATAGGACATTTGTATGTTCAGAGTTTAAATTGACGAACTGTATGTAAAGGTTCTAGCCATTCTGAAACTATGACGTCAGATTGTGGCAAATATTTAATCATTCAACTTCTATTAACAACATTTTTTGATATGATCAATAGTAACGGCCCCATCATCAATGTTCCTTACTTTTTATTCACCCTGTATGTACTTGTAAGAAAAATTCCCTGCATATTATGTAATAAACGCGTGTTATAGTGAGGTTCGTTAATTTATTTTGCTATTTCGAACAAAAGACCCGAAAGTAAAATTTGAATTTAATTCTTGTACTTTAATTTTTTATATCAACCTGTTCAACAGCTTCAAATTCAGTTGACAATATAAAGTATAATCCACAACTAAATTTTAACCTCTATGGTTTTCAAACTTTACCGACGGTTTTCCTCTACTTGCCGTAGCCGAAAATATCACTTTTTTTTAGTAACAATAGTTATTTACATAAAAGTCCGGAAAGTGACACAATACTGCGAGTACTTTAATTTCCTAGTCAAGTAATGTCATTTTACTGACGAGTTTTGTATTAAATTTTACCCGAAATCGTATTTTATTATAAAATTTCAATTTTTATATAGAACTTTTGATTAATGTCAATCTGTCAGTGATGACAGGGAGTCATTATAGACGTTTAGCAATGTCACAGATGCGTAAAGTGACAGTAGCGGCCGTATAGTGACAAGTGGCAGGAAACGTAGTCTGCTCTGCCTCTGTCATGGAAACTAAAATTTCCTGACAGAAAGTAGGCATGAAAATGAAGTTTTAAGGACCATTTTGGGTAAACTAAATTGTCCCTACGTGATCTTTACGTACCAAAATAAATTTTAATATACACTCATCAGATGCAATAAAACGTGTCGAACTAATCCTTTCAAGTTTTAAGAGAGCATACACAAAAAATGTACTCTAATTATTTTAGTATAGTTTTACTAATCTAAAAAAACCAAGGAAAACGATACAAATGGAATACGTGGGATATTTATTAATGTTGAGGGTGTTCTTTACACATAAATATTTAAAGGCCGCCCTTTGAGAGTACCCTCCTCTGACACTCCGTTCTGTAGATATTTACTTTGAAAGTTTCGACATCACCAGTGGATGTGTCCCGTCTAGACGTTCCACTTGCTCTTTATGAGTACCCTCTTTCGACACTTTGTTATCAAGATATTCGTTTCGATTTCACCAATCGATATGTTTCGTCCAGACGATTAATGTTGCCTTGCGACTTTTCATTAGAATACCATGGATCGTTAAACATGTGCCCCCTCCCCCCACTTTGAAAAAGTCTACTTGGCGCCATTAAAGGCATGCGTATGCAAAATCTGAAACCAATTTGTTGTTCAATGTAAAAGTTATGCACGATCTGAGGAAATCATTCACGGGTGGGAGGGGAGTGGGGGCTCCCTTAAGACAACAAAGTTTTACACTTCAAACTATAGGCTACCTATTGTAAACAAGTTGTAAATCAGCATATGCATGATTAAAGCGCATTTTTGGTAATGCAGGTCAGTATTTTATTAGCGAAGTTTAAAATTATCGATCTCACGAGTAATTTTGGCTGCGTTAAATAATTAATTTTATTTAATTCCAATTGACGTACGTCTTCATTTTGTAAAACAAATCACAAAGTAAATAATAAGTTTTTATACTGGTAGCGCTATCTAACGGTAAAATTATAGCACCTCCGAAACCCATATCGAAATTATTTTCTTCAATTATCGTTCTCACAAGTAATCTAACTCAAAATAGACTAGTGCCTGCACATCTACACTATAGCAGAAAGCTTTTAGTGAAAATTTGAATTCTCTAGCTATTGTAGTTGTGGAGAACTCACGCGGACAGCCGGCCTGTCAGCAATAACGAATATAATAGCGTATTTTTTTCAAAAATGCGCTAAAAATCCAGGACTCTAGGATCATTCCCCTACACGTAGTTTAACACAGAAGAAGTGGGTCCGGACAGAGGGACGGACGCATTTTTTTAAACGCGCCAATAATTAATTTAAAGTCTCATAAACAAACAGATACCAATTTCTATCTGTCATAAAGGTTGACCTGTTAGACAAATGTTCAAAAGAAAAAATTTGCTGTGGCTAGCACAGAGGACACCCGCACACTTGCTCATGGTCGATTCTACGCTTTTATGTTTAAGAATATGTGCCAAATTTAGTTCCAATCGGTTCAGCCGGAAACGAGAGTACAGTCGGAGCAACAGACAGACCGACATCGTCGAGATTTTGTTTAATTCGGGTTCCTGGTGCTTCAAAACGTGTATTTTCGTAAAAAAAATGGGCGAACATTTTTTACCCCAATGCATTTACTAACGTGCGGATGGTAAGAATGGGAAATAGTGACGCAAACAATGCAATAGGTCATGAAATCAATTCTAGTGGTTGATCCTTTCTTACTACTTATATGTTTGGTTAAATAGGGTTAACGTTAAATATTGTATGCTTCCAGGGCCGGACTGGTTTGTAAATTCCTACCGGGAAATACTTTTAAAAGGGCCCCCTATAGGTAAGGATTTTTTCCGGGAAATTGTGTAGGAGCCAACTGTTACCACACATAACTGATAAAATAAATAACATTAATTATTTCAAGGTAACAGTAACATGGACATGTTTTATTTTTCTTTAAAACTTCTACGGTTGGTACTTTTCTGATTTCAAAATTATTTAGAAAAATCAAAAGGGGGCTAAGTGAATCCTCAGTTCTCCAAGAATTGCACTTTTGTATGTTGAGACGACGGTAATAGGCGATTAGATTGTGATTAATTGCACTTTTGTGTCTTTTTGGTTTGAGAAATATTTGGTGGGGCTCAGTGAACGCTTAACCAATAGTAGGGGAATCCAATAGGGTATTTTGCAATTACTGGAGCGCGTCAGATTAAAGTAAAGTGGGTTGACTACGTGTTGAAAAGGGTACATTTCAATAATCTAGCCATCCAGTGTGACGTGGGGGAGTGGGAAGGTCACAAACTTGCAAAATAAATTTTTGCGCCTTTTTGGTTGCGGATGGGAATGGGGGCTAAATGAACTGGGATCTTACATAGTATTTCGCCAGTCTTAAATACTTCTTTTCTAACCCAAATATTTTCAAAAAAATCAATTTTCTTCCAAATTTTAACTGGCTAATCCATCTACTTGTGTTCAGTGTATGAAATGGTCTTCCCCAATTTGTACACAAAATTGTATAAGTTTTGAGTATACACAAGGGCGCTAAGCTTTTAGCCGTCATTTTATCTTTCTAAATATTTCCGAAACAGAGGGGCAGAGACTGTGAGAGTGGAAGCACAATAGAAGTTATACCTACTATGCAGTGCCGTCGTTCCAGTGGAAAGGAGAAATTTTTGGGTTTACGCTTATTAGTGTATTATCCTGAAAGGATTATTTATAGGTAAAGGTCCTGCGTAACAATATTTTATCGTGCCATAAAATTATTCGGAAATTTACGTTTTAACACAAAATACAAAACATAGATAAATTCTTGTTTCGAAAAGTAGAGGATTTCTTTAAATCTTACCGTAAATCCTTTCTCTTTAATACCTGTTCAAAATAAAATCCGGATTAGCGGTTAATCCATGTAACCAATGCCCAGATAATCGAGTTTCTACTGTAATAATAGGCATTTACTTATTAATAACAATATTAAGCATCGAATTTAGGCCCCCCCGGGAAATCTCCCGGTATCCCTCCTGTCCAGTCCGGCCCTGTATGCTTCATGAATTAACTAATGATTAATAAGTGGAAGCTTTTTATTGCACTCGAGTGTGTACAGGGTGTCTTAAATTGAGTAGGATAACATCAAATGTGATATTATTATATTTATTGACAGATTCGGTTAAATTGGCAAAGTTGTGTAGTTTTTGATGTTGATAGATATTTCGATGCGATATTTTGAAAAAA